TATCATTTTAATCCGTGGATCAACACTTCAATCTATCTGTGGTTGACTCCCCATGATTTAATTTGTTGTTTCTTAAAATTGAGTCACTACGTAAGCAGAGTGGCTCTAGGATCCAAGGATTTGATTATCCTGTCCGTTCAAGCTGCTAGCTAGAAGGGAAAAAAATGTTCATTCCAGTCATAAACTAATTTTTTGTTGTGTGCTATGCCCAAGATTTTGCGGCGCAACCGCTGCTGGCACTGTTCCAATTTCGCCGTCTCCTCCACTTCTTATCTTCGATTAGCACCACCGAGAACCCACCCCCACCAGCCTCAACTGGAGTAGCATACGATGATGCGGCTGATCCCGACACAGTTGTCCTGGTGGAGGTGCCACCCTGCTGTGCCCTCGGGTCGGCGCTGACAATCTGCCCTGCATGAGCTTCGTCGTGCCCTCTATGAACTCTGCCATGCATGGCCGTGAGCTCCGCCTCCATTTACGTCAACTCTGAAGAGATAGCCATGGCAAAGGCAAAGGCATCATGCGAGGAGTCCCACTCGTAGCTTCTTCCCCACGAGGAAGATAAGCACAACCTTTGAGGAGGACGACAAGCTAACCGAGGATAATATCGTCATCTTCTACTGCATTGAGACCTACCACACGGAGCCACACATAGCCTTGGAGCGTGCCGCTGAGGAGGAGCGACATGCATTGGAGTTGTCTGTGCCTACCATGCATGAGCATGTCGCCAACATGGAGCGCATAACTCATGCGCAACCAAGGAGTCGGAGGCCACCTACCACTGCAAGCACCGTTGACATTCAAAACCTAGAGCTGACAATGGTAGCTTGTTGGCAAGTCAAAAATTGTGAATGTGGTCGCCATCTATGAAGGGATACACTAAATGGACATAGTTTGCTCGGTAACCTTGAACTCGGCGATCTCTACAGTAGAAGTGCGCAAATTAACTGTTGATCTCCTCCCCGTAATCGGTAGCAAGAGCAACCCGGAGATCCTCGATATCATTTACTCACACAATTAGGGGTGGATTAATGAGCTACTAGGATTGTTAAGACTTTGCTCGTTAAGCTCAACAAACCTAACAAGGGAAGAACCTGAGTATGCTGACATTTTTTTGCTTCGGCGATGCTGAAGAATCTGCACCTGAGTATGCTGACATTTTTGGCTGCCAACTCGGGAAATTCCCAATATCTGGGGATACCCATACACTATCGGCGCTTAACTATAGCTGAGTAGAAATTTGTGGAAGAGAGACTTGAGAAACGCCTAGCCAGTTGGAAGGCCAAACTCTTGTCTTATGGAGGTCGGTTAATTTTGATCAATTCCATCCTCAGTAATATGGTTTTATACATGTTGTCATTCTTCCACCTCCCAAATGGGGTTCTTCTGCGCCTAGATTACTTCAGATCCAGTTTTTTCTGGCAAAGTGATAATGAAACCAAGAAATATCAACTGGCTAGGTGGAATGTATTATGTCGACCTAAAAGTCAAGGGGGACTTGGAATCCAAGACCTTGAGATTAAAAATATTGCTCTTCTCAGTAAATGGGTGTACAAACTACTCACTGAGAATGGAGTGTGGCAGGAAATCATTCGTAACAAGTACGTGGGATCCAAAGCCATTTCTCAAGTTTATTGGAGACGTGGTGATTCACATTTTTGGAGTGGGGTGATGAAGGCTAAGGAATTTTTTTTCCAATTTGGAACGTTCTCGGTTAGAGACGGTTCGCAGGTCCGATTCTGGGAGGACACCT